TGATATTAATCAGCCACAGTTAAATTAAAACAAAGTCAAACAGACAACTATGAAGGTTCATACGATTGTATTATATATCATTAAACATAATTGTATCATATATCATTAAACATAATTGTATCATATATCATTAAACATAATTGTATCAATAAAACATAGATATTCATAGTGATGAAAAATATTGTGATTTGTTGAAATGTTATCAATAATAATTGTAGAAGGACAAGTTGAAACTCTGGTATGGTAAATTAATAAAATATATATATATATATAATATATATATATATATATATATATATATATATATATATATATATATATGTTGGTAATAGACCATAATTTTTACAATATTCTAAAAATTCTACCGAATGTTTGGCTTTAATATGTTTGTAGTTCGTTTTTTCGATTTTGCTCACTAAAGTTTTTTGGTGAACGTTATTAAAATTCAAAATAAACTTATTTTTCGAATTCATGCTGCAAATAAGGCCATATTTCGATTCCGAATGAATCATCATCAGTGCTCCTTGCTATATATATATATAGGGAAATATTGACTTTGTCAAGATGAACTTTGACGTTGTAAAAATTAACTTTGGTGTTGTAAAATTGAACTTTGATGCGAATTAGGTGTCAGGTTTCTTTATTGGCTGGTCATTCTTTATTGGCTGGTCATCATCTTTAGTCTCCTTTTCTTCATCGATAGCATCATATTCTTCTTAGTCACTATTTACGATGCTAGTTTTTATTACTTCTTTGTTTTCGTTGTTGGTTAAGCGCCGGGTTGGAAGTGAGGTTAGGGTTGTATATTGTTGTATATTTATTTTTGGTTTATTGATGTCAATTAGGACTGCTTCTGCAATTTTAAGATGCGTGTAGTTGCTGATCTGGTATATTACTTTGGTGTTGCTGTCGAGGATTTCACGGCTAATTGTGATTGAGTGTGTTGAGTCCAAATGAGATTTGATAGCACCACTCTGTTTATGCATCGTAAGCCTTCTAGTCAGTGAGGTAGTAGTAATCCCGATATATGAGTCATGTTGACGTGCACAGCCGTCAAATATATATATATATATATATAATTATATATATATATATAAATAATATATACAAAATATTTTATACTTTGTATATATCGTTTTTATATTACGTATACATGTGTATTTATGTATGTGTGTATGTATGTAGGTGTGTATGTGTGTGTCTGTGTGTGTGTGCAACGATAGCTAGATACTATTGATTTTAAGGTATGTACGTGTGGAGAGAGAGTTGATGTATGGTGTCGGTACTATCTGGTTGTTTTTCATTTAATATTGCGTGAACTGTGTTAGTATGTTTGTGCGTGTGTGTGAGTATGTGTTATTTATATGTGTATGTGTTTTTGTGTTGTGTGTGTGTGTGTATGTCTCGTTTTGTTCCTCGTTTTGTGGGTCTGTTAATGAGGGCATACGAGTAGGCACTCCCATGATTGTCTTTTTAGAAGTATGTCTATTATTGATTAGGTAAATATGTGTGTGTGTGTGAGTGTGTGTGTGTAAGTGTGTGTGTGTGTGTGTATGTGTAAGTGTGTGTGTAAGGGTGTGTGTGTAAGTGTGTGTGTGTGTATGTGTGAGTGAGTGTGTGTAAGTGTGTGTGTGTATGTGTGTGAGTGTGTGTAATTGAGTGTGTGTAAGTGTGTATGTGTAATTGTTTGTGTAAGGGTGTGTGTGTATGTGTGAGGGTGTATGTGAGTGAGTGTAAGTGTGTATGTGTAAGTGTGTGTGTAAGGGTGTGTGTGTATGTGTGTATGTGTGAGTGTGTATGTGTGTGAGTGTGTGGAAGTGTGTGTGTGTAAGTGTGTATATGTGTGAGTATGTGTAGCACTTTTTTTTCTTTGAGGGCTTTTTCTACCTTTCTCTGTATGCACGTTAATGTTTGATGTATTTCAAAAAATTACATTCAGTTTCTTGAAGATGTTTCCATTTGGTCATTGTTATAAATGTACTATATATATATACATATGCAAAAATTTATAAAAAAAATATAACATAAATGTGTGTATGTTATATACTATATTATCTATGTTACGATACACATACACTTTTATATGTTATATATGTATAACTGTGTTAAGCTCTTAAGATTCCAGATTATTCGGCACTTTTGTCATTTCATTTTATATTTTCTTTTTTTATACTTACGAGTAACTATGTTTTTATGTACGTATTTGATGTGTATTGCTTTTCATCGTTGTGTATGCCAGTTGGATATATATTTTTTCACACTCATTTTATGCAATGCCTTTGAAACTTTTTTTAAAACTATTCTCCATTCTGTTATTTCATTTTTTCGTCGTTTTGGTTTTTTTTTCCCAATTTGAGTGACTGAGTTAGTGACCGAGCGTATGATTTATAGGCAATAGTCACAGTCAAGAATAGCGAACTCGATGTGCCGGTTTAGCTAAAGACCATTATTCCGACCAGATAAATTAAATAAACATAACAAAAAGATTTATTACACAACTACTGCAAAGCGTTAAAGATCTGGTTTTGTGGAGGTCGATGGTCGCCAATGTCAAAAATTTCTCGCGTACTCTTCAAATCAGAAGATATGATATCTATCTAAGATATCTATCTAAGATATCTATCTAAGATATCTAAAGCTATCTAAGATGTTAAAGAGGTTTAAGCATTTATGTATATTTAAATTATCTCCGGAATGTTATTTTATTTATTCATGGTGGTTTATTGACTTTAATAACAATGTTTCTTTCCTATTATTCTTTATTAAATGCTTGTATCAATGTTGAATCAATATTCATTAATTATTTTAATAATGATAATAATCAAAATAATAATTAATAATAGTGGTAATAATAATTATAATAGTTTACTGATAAAATAAAATAATTACTCTAATATTCAGCGGAATGGAATTATAACAATTTTAAGAGCACGCTAAAAGTACTTTGTGATGTTTAAAAGAGAACTTGATAACATCATTTACTAAAATAATAATAATAACATTATCATTATTATTATTTTAAATGTTAATTTTATTATTAATATTATTAACAATTAACATGAATTCACCGATAATTGGGAATGTTTATCAGAAAAATTAGTGTGGATTTCATTTGTTACACTTTGGGCTTATCATTGGCGCTAAATTTATTATTTAATTGATTTATTGGTTAATTAATCGATTGAATAATTAATCTGCCGATTAAATAATAAATGAATGAATGAGTGAGTGAATGAATGAATAAATGAACGAATGAATGAATGAATGAATGAACGAACTGAACTTTGTATTGGTGTTATCCTTACACAAAAATTCAGCTACATTTAGTAACACTGAAAATCTATATAGCTCTGTTAACTGTTATAAACAATACTGTATATTATATTGTCACTATTTGAATAAAAATCTAAACTATAAAAACCATTTTTTTGTCTCTTCATGGGCTGCGTTTGCATTTGAACTCGGTCATCGTCCAACCACTTCGCCGTGAGGAGAAATGATTTTTAGTTGGAGTTAAATTTATTCGAAGCGATACTACATCTTCCGATTGGCTGATCAAGCAAAAATTGGTGCAACACATGTAAAATCTTGGTGGAATGATCTCTGGGGGTCAAAAGGTGAAAAAAATGGTACACAGGTATGTGCGAAACGTATTTGGTTAATTATTTCTCACGTACGGGTCAGAAGTGTTTATGAGAAGATTTTTATTCTTTAAAATAAATCAACTAATGCTGATGAGTCCCCGGTTGGGAAGAAAGACGTGTCCAGTCTGTCCAAACGAATACTATCTTTCTCTTCTTTTCACTCCTGCTCACTGCTCTGCCTGGTTTGGTGTTCTCATACATTTACGCTAAATAAATATACTAAATGAATGATAGTAAACTTATTACGAGATTTTTCTCCGCGTTGTTACAGTCTCGAACCGATGATGTCGCAATGTGATACTCACGTTCACAATTTAGAAGGCACAAAAATACGGCAACAACACGTTCATAATTCAGGAGAATTGCATTCCTGTTTATGAGCCAGCCAGCCAGCCGCAACTTAACTTCACAAACAAACGACGGAGTTGTCAGCTCCGGCACAAAATCAAAAAAATTTACATTTTTTTCAATAAATAATATTATATATTTATGTTACATATCTTTCTTATTTGAAACTATCCAGTATAACAAGGGTGGGCAAACGTTTTGCTGTGAGGGCCGCATTGGGAGCTATTTTACCTTTGAAGGGCCGCATATGTACTTAAATAGCAAATTTTTCCGACCCGGGGAGAATTTTTTAAGATTTGTGGCTCCTTTTTTGGTCCCAATGTCTGGCTACGACCTTTATTTTGGCAAACAAGGCCTCGAGGGCCGCATAAAATCATGGGCCGTAGATTGCCCACCCCTGCCGTATAATTTGTAAAACTAGCCAAAGATAGTAAATATGTAAGAGGGTTATATTTTAACCCGTTTTCAAGTAGAGTTTTATTTATTACTAAATAAATGAATGTATGAATGAAAAAATCAAAGAAGGAATGAATGAATAAATGGATAAGTATATTTATATATAACATAAATATGGAAATAAAATAATTAAATCGACCAAAATAAAATGCGAAATAACATTGAACAGCGTTAAGACAATCAGACAACAGAGACCACTAGCTGATAGCAAGAAATTATCCAAACACGAAACAATGATAGATTAAACCCTATTTTTAAAAAATTACAGAAAAAAAAATTATTCCACAGTCATTTGGTGGGGTAGTGTAATGGTTAAGACGCCTGGCTCTGATGTTGTAGCGATCAAATTCGAATGCCGTCCACGCCTCGGGAATTAATTACAAGAAAATAAATAACAAATTAACAACAGTGCGCTAATTATATTTCTTTTTCCATCATTTTATTTAGAGATATAAGAAATTGCGAAATTATCTAAGGTATATAATCTACTGTAATATAAATTATAGCCAAAATAATAATTATAGTGAAAATAATTATAGCTACATTAATAATTCAGGAAGAATTTTCATCCATAATAGTCCGGAACCAGTTAATGACTGCTGACACGTTGGCAAACATAGAAGTGCTACAGGATGGGAAGGCTGTATTGAAGGAGAAGCTACTCAGTCCCTGGACGTGCCACTTACCGTCGTAGGCCTGGCAGGCCAGGGGGCCTCCACTGTCCCCCTAAAAATTTGAATAAATTTTTTTTACGTTTGTGTAATAGTTGTAATTACGGTGATTTGTTCTTGCTGTGTTTTTAAATTGAGGATCTTTTAAAAATTTTTAAATCGTTTAACTTTTGTTAATATGAACGTATGACGGCTTTAATGTTTTCTTTAGCTTATTTTCCTCCTAGCCTCAGATGTAGAATATGTAGAATAAAAAGAGGATAATCACAGGACCTCCTTGGTTGGTTTACATTAATTAATTTCTTAAAGATACTCAGAAGGAAAATATTCCTAGAGTTATAGGTCCATTCAGTTAATTCAATTCTATATTCACTGACTAGATATCTATCTAACTGTGAATATAGATAGATCAAGAAACACGTTGAAGTGGAATATTTTTTTCTGCGAACATCATCTCCCAGCCCTCAAATAAATATTATTTGCAAATTTTCTTTAAAAAAAACCCGAAATTCAATTTAGTAAAAAAAATCAAGATAAACTGTAGTGCCATAGGACTGACCAGAGAAAAAATTTAAAAATTTCTGACCGCCTGAACGACGAAACAGATCTGAACGAAGACCACACCCAAATTCGAAAAAAATTCTCCCCCAACTCACCATGCACGTGTTGATTCCATTGGTAGTTGGGTAGGAACCGCAGCAGAGCATGGTCAGATTGTTGATGTTCACATTCATCCGGGGAATCCGCATCGTCTCTTCAACATTTCGCACGCACGTGCCATAGTCCATTATGTTCATCTTGCCTTCTAGCAGGTATCGAGATAGTCGAGATGCTGTTGGGAATGTTGTAATTATTATAAGTACGTTATCGGACGACATCGAAAAATTTATTTTCAAATTTGAATTGAGAAAAAGAAGAAGAATTGAAATATAGGTAGGGATTGGTTTGGTACTGATCATAAAAAATCCAACAATCTTTCAGTTTCCAACTCTAAAACTTTAAAATAAAACATAATTTTTTTCAAATTTGAATTGAGAATAAGAATTGAAATATAGGTTTGGTACTGATCATAAAAATTTCAACAATCTTACGGATTCCGACTCCAAAACTTAAAAATAAACAGTAAATTTTAAATTTTTTCCAAATTCGACTTGAGAGAAAAAAAAGAAAAATTGAAACAGTTTTTATTTCAAAGACCGACAGGCATATGTTCTTCCGAAGCCAGAGACCACGCAGACTTTGTAGGGTGACAGGATGGGGGCTGTCTGAATGCTGGGAAGACATATGGGCTTGATGTATTGAGTGTAAGTCACGGGTCTCGATAATCTGTAATCAATTGTTTGGAAAAAATGTTTAACACTCTTTTTTAATCAATTATTTATCATTGAAAATAGTATTTTGAAAAAAAAATGTGTGTGCGTATTATGTAGTATTGTAATAATATTTATCTTTTAAAAGTGGGTGCTGCGCAATAGTTTGGAAATTATGAATTTTACGTAAAAAAAATTGAAAATTTGGTAAGAAAAAGTTAATAAAGGAGAAGTAACGGCTGAAATAATAATTCTCTTTTCAAAAAGCAACACTAAAATGTAATTAAATTATTATTTTAATTAATTAAAATTATATTTTAAATTTTATTATTAAAATGTAATCAAATTATAAATTATTATTATGAATGTAAAAAAAAATTAATAAATACTTAAGATAAAACAGAACACTTTAGAATAAAAAATAAAAAAACAGGTGAAGGAACTTAAAATGATGGCGAACTTTATAAGAGCGAAGTCATAGTCAATCTTGACATCATTGTATTTGGGATGAACGAAGAGATCTGAAGCTGCGTAGATGGCGGTGTCGGCGGTGTTGTCGTTCTTGTCGTCGCTGTACGTACTGCTGCTGCTGCTACTGCTGCTGCTGCTACTGCTGCTGCTGTTCACGTCCAGAAACTCTCTGAATAAAGTCGTCGCCCCCAGTCTGACTTTCACGGCAAATGGCTGACTGTGGAGGAGTGGGAGAAGTTTGAACTTTTCTTACAATAATATTGCTAGCTGTGGTGATAGTAATATAATAATACTAATGATAATAACAATCTCTAATATAACTTTAATTATAACATGTGAAGACAACAAAATAAATGTTTCACTCTCTCTCTCTCTCTCTCTCTCTCTCTCTCTCTCTCTCTCTATTGACTGATAGACTGATAGAGTGATTCGTACTAACAGTTGGTAGACACAGTGGGCAGCCGTGATGATCCACCTCCTGTCCAGTAGAGAGCCTCCACATGTGAACGTCTTGTTGACGAACAGTTGCGTCTGTCGGTTGTGGCGGGAAAAAATTTTTCACCCTTCAAATTTACTTCAGTTCAGTTAAAGTTTTGGATGAACATTTTGTATGAAAAAGACATGCCAAAGAACTTTTAATTACTTTTTGTAATTCTTATGTGAATTTAAATTAGAATAAAAAAGTTAAAGATGGACACAGCGCGTCTGTGTTTTGTTTAGAAGGTTGAGTTTGTAGTTGCCTGGTTCAAGTGCAGGTAAGTTTCAACCTATCTAACGCTCACTCAGATTACAACAACAAATCTTGCAACAAACAAACATGCAGATGATACAATAATATGGGAAATTAGTTTGATGGAACGAAGAAAGAAATGACTTCCGGTTTCATCTACATCTTATTTTATGTCTTCCAGACACTCGTCCATTCTAAAGAACGGCAGAGTCCGAAAGATACAATTTAGACTAAGAAAACACAAATGGCATGTCATCATAAATTGAAGTGACCACACACACCACACCATTCAACACGCCATAAATTGAAGTGGCCACACACACCACACTATAAACTAAAGTTACCACACACGCCATAAGCTGAAGTTACCACACATGCCACACGGTATAAATTGAAGTGACCACCCCACAGAGGACCGACCTACCATCCAGGGCCAGGCTCCCTTGTTGGCCATGTCCCCATTCACGACATACTTGTTGATGAGGGATGGCGACCTCAAGCCACACTCTGCCAGTTAATTATGGTGAAGTTATATGTGTGAAATTCGTATAAACATTTCTACAAATGGTGGATTGTTTCGAGATGAGAAGATTTTAAAAGTTAGTTACTACACAAATGAAATTTGTTAAAAAATTGTCGCGTTAGTAATAATTTCTATTAAGGTCCTACAAGAGTCTGCAACAGCTACACACACACACACACACACACACACACACACACAAACACCACACCACACACACACACACACACACAAACACCACACCACACACACACACACACACACACGCACACACAACTTCACACATACCTACCTACACACACATTCACACTACACACACACACACTCACACACACACACACACACACACAACTTCACACATACCTACACACACACAAACACACACTTAATCCTGTAATATTATTCAATAATGATGTAATATCCAACTAATTTTCATCACAGCGTGCGTTTGAACCTGGTCTCCGTGCATTAGTGGCGTCATGCATGCATTCAATTGTTTGAAATAATAGCTCGTTTGTGTCGGTGTGCGACTTTGTGTGCGAGTCTGTGAGTTAGTGTGTGTGTGTGTGTGTGTGTGCAAGTTTGTCTGTTAGTTTGTCTGTGTGTTTGTTTAGTTATGTCTGTGTGCTTGTTTAGTTATGCCTGTGTGCGAGTTCGCATGTTTATTTGTGTGTGCTTGCAAGAGAACAAACACATCGGCAGACTGACCTTGATCGGAGCAGCTTATTGAAACAGTTACATTGGACGGACAGGAGTAGCTGAAAATTAATTTCATTCATTTTGTAATAAATTTTAAATAAAGTTGATAAATTTTTAAAATAAACCTAATGAATAATAAAAATACGTAAAATATTCTAGAATAATCTCACTCGAGTTTGGCCCAACAAGGGGAATTAATTATAGCGAAAAATATTAACTGTTTTTAATAATTTTTAAATGAATTATGACCAGATTGTGAGTGGATTCTAAATACTAGAGAAAAATAGTTGAATCAGCCAGTTATATTGCACAAAAAATTATCGTTATCTGTTAAACGCTTGCTTGGATAACACATTCAAATGGTAACAAAGTGACAGAAGTGTATTTTTCAATTGTTGTTTTTAACTTCTATGTTTTACACTGTGAGGTGTTGTGTCATGTTTGCTGAGTTTAATTTTTATAAGTGAGTGAGTGAGTGAATGAGTGAGTGAGTGAGTGAGTGAGTGAGTGAGTGAGTGAGTGCACTGTCAAGATTATAATTCATTTCAACTCAGTTCTCCTACAAGAACTTTATTGGAGTAAATTGATTGGATTAATACACAAAAGGACATAAAGACGAACAAAAACAAGCACAAACAAAAACAAACATAAACCCAGACAAACACAAACCCAGACAAACATAGGAACAAACAGACAAATAAAAAGCCAGAAAATATTGAAAACAAGAATTTCAAAAAGAACATACAAACGAACGAACGAACGAACCTGGAGTCGAAACCACCGGCAAACGGTTTGCTGCTGTCGGCACTGTACTTTAACATGACGTACCTCTGTGGTCGCGGGTGGTTCTGCTGCAAGCTCCAAGTCTCCAAGTGGCTTTTGGTCGGTTGTTTAGCCCATTATTAGTATTATTACTATTATCATTATTAATGTTGTTGTTATTATTATTAATTTTATTGTTGTTGTTTTATTATTATTATTATTGTCTTCGTGAATAAATTCATTTTGTTATTTATTCATTTCAAAAGTTTTAACAATAAATAGCTTTCGAGAAATTTATCAGATAGAAAAACTACAAAACGAAACTTTTATAAAATAAACAATACCATAAAAAAAGGAAGAAAGAAATGAAAGAATGAAGAAAAAGGCATTGATAAAAAAAAGGAACATTGATGACAACCTAAATTTAAAGGTTAAAGTTAAAAAGAGACGGAAGGATAAACACACACCCTAATCCCAAATAACTGCATGCAGCCTCACTCCACTCATCCCTCCATCCATCAGCACACACGTAATTATCCTCCAGGCCTCCAAAAGTTAGTAGAAGCGGTTGGGGTGATGGCGAGGATGAAGACGATGATGAAGAAGACGATGATGACGTCAGATTACCTAATCGCACTATGGGTGGGATGAAATACTTTTCAAAATATTTACAACAGCATTAATAAGGTGTTGATTTTTTTGAAGATTTTTTTAAGATTTTTTTTAATTTATTTTATTATTTATTTATTTATTTGTGAAAGAATTTTCCAAAAATGAAGTTCGAACGACGTCTGATATTTAGTAATTCACCAGATTTACACAACAATATGGAGTGTGTGCAGCGAGATGGTGCAATGGTTAAGACGCCTGGCTCCGCTTTTGCAGAGACATGGTTCGATTGCGAAGAGATTTCAGTGCATGGATTCACGTGTGGCTGTGTCTGTTGCCGACGCTGTCGAGGTCACTAAAAATGCTTAAGAAGACATCTCCAATAACAAATAGCAATAATTCCGATCTCTTTGTCAAAAACAAATTTGAAAAAAACATATCAATTAATTAATTAATTTAATTGAATGATTAACTTAATTTGAATAATTAATTAACTTATTTATTGATATTCTATCCGGAAGTAAGAACAAATCACTCACAGCATCCCAATTCGTCAGATCTGTCCTCGCAATCGTACCTCCCATCGCACCTCCGGGACCTCTGGATGCAGGTTCCTCCGTGAAAACAAGAAAACTGACTCGAATTGCATGTCGCTAATTGATGGATGGATGGATGAGTGGATGGATGAATGAATGAATGGATGAGTGGATGTATGAAGAATGGATGGATGGATGGTTTGATGAACAGATTGATAGATAGATAGATATGATTGATGGGTGGGCAAAAAATGAATGAATGATTGG